AGGAATCCTCAAGGCAAATAACTTATAAGGAGAAAAGGTTTATTTAGCTTTCAGTTTTGGCTGTTCAAAGATGTGGCACCTACATCAGCTCAGTTCTGGTGAGGGTGGTGAATGGTGGGCATATCATGGCAGGATCTACTGTAAACACACCATCTCACACCAGTGGATACAGACTGAGAGATCCCACAGTCCCCTTCAAGGGCACATCCAACAATGACCCAAGGAGCTCCCACTAGACCACACTTCTTAAAGGCGCATAGCATCTTCTAATATCCTCACCCTGGGGACCAAGCCTTCAGATATTCAGGTTATATTGTACATCAAACATCTTCTACTGGCTCTTGACTGACTTTTCCCTTTCCTCCTAACAATCAATGTATCTTCCAAGAAATCCACCACTCCAGTGTTTTTCTTGCAATGGTTAGATCAAAATACCTCAAGTATACGGGGGCTGGAGATTTAGCTCAGTGGTTTCGCCGCCTGCTGCCCAAGCACAAAGACCTGAGTTCAATCCCCGGTACCACCAAAAAAAAAAAACCACCTCAAGTAAAGACTATTCTTACCCTGAGACCTACTTTGTCGTCTCTCTGCAAGTTTCTTTTCTGTATCTATTGGTGCTGACAGTAAATACATGCGGTAGAAGGTGACAACAAGGAAAATGTCAGTGATTATGATCGTTGATTGTCATTAGCTATAAATAGAGCTGGCAAAATGAACTCATTATCTGTAAGAAATGGCATAAATGTTGATTGCACACAAAAAGTGCAATGTGCATACAGACAAAGTGTAGACTTCACATTTGTAAAGAGTCTTTATTTTGCCATCTGTTCTTGAATTTTTCTTTTAAAAACCTCCGATACATGAGTGTTTGTGCCAGGGACAGTTGGTGGTGCTGTTGTATTCGTTCCCCAGAACATGTGGAGGCCAAAGTTTCCATCCTAGTTTCTCAGCATCCCACCAGCAGCTGCTGGTGCAGAGGAGACCTTCCTACTCTTCCGCTCACACACTGTGACTCAACGTGACCCCGTTCAGGTTGGAGGTATCTTTGGACTCACATTGTCCCAAGAACAAGTAAAACAAAACAATACACGATGCTCCATTGTTCTAGACATATGAGAAAACCTACAGCCACGTATACATTGTTCATACATTTATTTAACTATCCAGCAAATATTGTCTACTTACTTTGTCTTAGTGTGTCAGAATAAAGGTTAAATAGCCATTAAAAAAAAGAAATAAAGCATGCAGTGACTTCAAAGAAAGAAAGAATGAAGAAAGAAAGAAAGAAAGAAAGAAAAAGAAAGAAAGAAAAAGAAAGAGAAAGAAGTCTCTGCTCTTTCTAAAGACAGTCTAGGCAGCACTTGCTGGCAGGACAGTTCAGCTATATGTGACCACTCAGGATCTTGCTGTTCCTTCCTTCTGAGGCCATGTCCTTGTGATGCATGTGGTTTACAGAAGTATTTAAAGGACACCTCACTCTCCTTTTGCACAAAACAGGACCTATACTTCCCAGCCCACTTTGACAGAGTATTTACACCCCACCCTAACAAATCATAACCATGTTGAATTTAAGAAATGTCATAAAATGCTTAGGTAAAATTTATTATTGAAAATTTTTTTTTTTTAGGTACCAGGGATCAAACTCGGGTCCTTGCACTTGTGCAGCAGGTGGCAAAACCACTGAGCTAAATCTCCGGCCCCTTGAATATGTTTTTTAAGAAAAGTTTTTAAAACAAATGCAACCATCTTTATACCCCCAAAACAAGCTTTATAAGCAAGTTGCATTGTCTGTAGAGGCACCTGGGGGTATCTGGGCTAATACTTCTTGCTGCTGTGACCTCAATCCCTCTGAAAAGTTGTGCATAAGCAGCTGGGCTGCTCTACTGTCACTGGACATGGAGCACTCTCCTCAATCAATTTTATGGGGAATACTCAAGTGGGTTTTGCAGACTGTGACACAATTTGGAGGAGATTTCAACCTTCTCCTGTAGACAGGAGGAAGAAATGCTGCTAGCTGATGTCACTGACACACTGCTTGGGAATTGCTGGGATGAATCATATCCATACGTATGTGTGAGATCAGTAGGGTTTTTTTTTTTTTTATATATATTTTACTTTTGAAATCCTGAACCTAGGCATTTTATCTTAGGAGGGGGCACCTTTTTCCAAGTTAACATTCAGAATAAAACAGCCTTCTTCTATACAATCAAAGTTGAGTCAAGAGCTTTCAGGAAGGGGAAAAACAAATTCCTCCGAACAAAAGAGAAGGATGTGGTACATTCAGCCTGTGTGCGTGAGAACATAGTCATAAGGCCACGCCACGCTGCAGGGGATTCTGGGGAATGTAGTCTCTGGCTGGTAGTCCTGTAACAAAATGAAACTTTATTACATGAGAGAAAGCAAGAAAAGATCGTGGTTCTTCACTATGATAAGGATTTTAAATGTTCTACTCAAATTCCTTTTTATTTTCTCCCACCATTTACCAAAACTGTATTTATGTCTTAAAAAGTTCCATTAAGCACAGTGAGACAGCTCACACAGAGCAGAATCTCCATGATTTTTTTGGCTCCCTGATAGAGGTGATTGGGTCACCTCTTACAGGGAGAGCATGATCCTGCCATTAACTTCTTTTCTCCTTGGTGCACTGATTCATTATTGCCATGGGTTTCACACATGCTGGCTGGCCCCAGGGGCTGCATATCCTAGCATATGTGGAAAATGCGTCCACTGCTGCATGATTAGACATGAAGATATCAACAAGCCTGGTGCACATGTTACTCAGATCCGATCAGGATACTTCTATGTTAAGCCAGGCAGGAATTATCTCAAGGTTGTTAAAGGGCATTATGGTTGCTGCTTCTTGTACATTTTCTGTAACCTCTGAACCTGTGTTTCTACATAGTTCCTGAAATTGCCTCCCAAATAATCTACTTGTACCAATTCCTTTATTTGACTTTACTCAAGAGGGAACCCAAACTATGAAAGTCAGCTTAGATTAATCAGTGTTTACCCTTGGACACTGGGGAGAACACTGTGTAATGAATGAAGGCTCGATTTTATAGAGCTGTAGGGCTCCAGGGGCAAGGTATAATGGGAATAGTTATGGGACAGGCAAGTGGCAGTGGGCTACCTTAAATGGCTTTAGCCATCTTTATCTCTGGTAATGAGATTCAGGCTATTCCCACATTGTTGAACACATCTTTACATTTTGCCATTGTTTTGAAATAGAGATGATGCTGTTATCAGACTGAGGCTGCTAAAATGAGTACTGGCCCTCTTCAGGACCTGTTCTTCCTCACAATGTTTTTTGTTTTTGTGTTTTCAGTGCTGCAGATTGAACCCAGGGCCTCACACAGGCTAAGTAAGTGCTTTACCACCGAGCTAGATCATTTCCAGCCCTTAATTTGATTTTCGAGACAAGGTCTCACTCTGTTGCCCAGGCTGACCTCAAACTCGTGATTTTTCTCCCTCAGCCTCCTAAGTAGCTGGGATTGCAGGTGTGCACCACCACTCCCAGCCCTCCTTGAGTTTCATTTCCTTATCTGTAATATAGTGGTTTTAAATGGCATTACCTCAAGGGATTTTTATGAGAACCAAAGATACAGAAGATGTAGCGCAAGGGCTCTGTGGTCAGTTTACCTTGGGTCTGAATTCCAGCTCTGTCATTTCCTAAGGCTTTGGACAAGTTACTAAGACATTTGAGCTTCAGTTTCCTCAACTGGGGATGATAATGCATATTTCATGGTGTTATTAGGAAGATTAAGTAAGATAATACTTCTGAAATATGTAACTGAGAATCTGGTACATATCAACTATCCCATGAAATTTAGCTATTACTACATTCTTTTATGTACAATATGTAGCAATTTCCTGACATACAGTATATGATAAAACAAGGTAATAATTATAAGGTGACAAATAAATGGATATAGAATGAACTGGAGCAGGATATTCAGTTGTAAGAGAGCAGATGTTTCTTTGTCCATATAATTTCATTGGTGACTCTCCTGTACCATGTGTCCCTGGAGTAATTCTGAAGCTTTTACCTCAGGAGTGGCTTTGGAATTTCAGTAGCCAGTCTTAGTGACCTACTCTGAGCAATCTGATCAGGGCCAGGCAAGGATCAAGTATGGCCACCTGAAGTCATCTTTGAGCTCTGACATGTGTCTGCTGGAGGAGAGAGGGTTTCGATGTCTCTAATTGTGGGCATGGTCATGGGGTGTCATCTAGCACCAAAGGACAACTTACCCCCCTCCTGTTGAGAGGCTGCTACTGACAGCATTAAAGAAGAGGCAGAGGTGAACAATGGAGATAAGTATCAGAGGCTTCATGGCATTGTTTTAATCCTGGATCTAGCCATCCATGAAGCTACTGCTATCACTGGACCTTGGCTTCCCAACTACATGCTCCTATGATTTCCTTTTGTGGCTGAAGCTGTTGCGATTTAGGCTTCTCTCATCTACAATGGACAGGGCATCTTAAAGTTCTATACGTAAGTACAACTGGAAAGTAATATGACTGAGTGTTCAGTAAATAGTAATATTTTCAATAGTGGGAAACATTTATTGAGATTTATTATGTGCCAGGCACCGCTTTAAATGCTTTATGTATATTAATTTATTTATACCTTGCAACTGTAAGTTAGGCATGTTACTTCTTTTTATAGATGAATAAATTGAGTTAACATTAAAGTTTCTTTTTCTTTTTTCTTTTATTTTTGGCTGGTGACTTCAGCATCTATGTATCCTAGGGAGTAATAGATTCTCCAAAATGCTTACCTTACCGTGTTTTTCAAATGATGCTAACATTTTCTAAAACATTTTAAATCATTTTAAGTGAATTTTGATCAGAGCCAGTTTACTTCAGAAAAATAAATATCACCATAGTGATAGTGCATAGTGTCACTTTGTGTGCTGTTCAGAAGGGCATGGTATTCTTGTTCTTGCTTGACTACTTTAATTACTGTGTGAGACTCTCAGTGGTGTTTGGCTGTCCACACTGATCAAATATGCCCTTCATGGACAAGGTATATGAACACTGAGGAAGAATGTAAAGAAGGCTCTGAAGGTGATTCTGAAAGGCAGGGTTCCCACCCTGGGCTTGCAGGATATATTCGCCAAGGGAACATTTGGATGCGTGAGTTAGTCTGCTTTTAAAAAAAATCAGATTATGCTGTGCTTGTTACCTTATCGTCTTCTTTTAAGTATGTGTTTTACACAAGTTAAATATCATGGCGCTTGCAGTAGGCTGTCTGGTAACTCTTGGTGTTTGGAGGGTGGCCCTACTCCTTAGATGAGCCTGAGGAGAGCAATTTAAATGACTCCAGAAACATAGGGTCTAGATGGAGAAAGAAACCGTCCATTGGTGTGGCCTGCACTTGGATGGACACTTTTATAAAGTGAAACTGTCAGAAGAAACTCTGAGACAAAGTGGTAAGAATGACTGTAACTCCAGACATTCCCAGAAACCAAATTTGTATGAAGTATTTTCGAGCATGGAGAGATTCTGACCCCCTTCTTGATTTTATAGGAATCACTATTTTTCTCACTGCAGTATTACTTATTTTTAAAAATTTTATTAGTACATCCTTGCTGTACATAATGTTTACAGTCCTTGTGTGGAGTGGGTACGTGTACCTAAAGGAATCATTTAAGATGTGCAAAAAATTGAAAGACGAGTGCAACATTTACTCAACAATTGTGAGCATTTTGACAATATTTTTCTTTGCTTGTATGAAAATATGCCTATATTTATTGTTCTGCAGCGTTTGAAAATATGTTTTGGATATTGAGACATTTCACCCTTCAACAATACAGCTGAAAATAAGATATTCCCCAACATAAATATTATTATTATTGTAATTTGAGACAAATTACAGTTCCTGCATGTCATCCAATATCTAGTCATCCTCAAACTTCCCCCAAAATGCCCCTAAAATGTCTTTGGTAAGTATTTCTTTTTTTCCTCCTCATTAAAAACAAAACAACTAGGATTCAATCAAGGCATAGCTTTGGGGTTATGTCTCTTTGTCTTTTATGCTAAAGTAATGACATACTTTGTTTTTTAAATGGTGTCTTTTTGAAGAGACCAAATCAGCTGTCTTGAAGAATGTTCCACATTCTGAATTTATATGCTTGTTTTCTCATGGTGTTTTCATCCTGTTTCTTTTGCCTGGATATTAACTGTCCCCTGGAAGTTAAGCTCAGAGGTTTGACAAGACTTATGTTAAACTTCTTTGGCATAAATACATCATAGGTCACCTGTGTACTTGGTATTGTATTTCATCAGGAATCATACAATGTCCTACTACGATTGATAATGATTGTGAGCACTAGATTAAGGCAGCAACTGCCAGAAGTTTCTGGAAATGCTGAAATGCTGTTTTTTTTCTTCTTTGCAATGAGAAGCCCTGGGGAGATAATATCATACTTTGTACATGTCCTTGCCTGTAGCTTTCATTGTATGGTTTAGTCCTTAAAGACAAAAATCTTATCCAGCTTAAATGTTTAAGAATAATTCAAGCAGACTTCATGGCACTTTTCCTAAACTAGCTTTAACAAACTTTAAAAAATATATTTCTTATGGATTCTAGGTTACAAGTGTTCATTTGGTTGTTCTTTAAAAGCAGCACGATCTTGCTCAATGCTCATAGAGAAGTTCTGCAAATATATGTAAACACTTCCTGTCAGGGACAGCTGGAAACATTTGGCTTTCCTGTGAAAACCTCCTTCACTCTGCACCAGCACCCAGAGTTTTCAAAATCACTCACAGGCTAGTAGAGGCTCCGTTGTGTTCTCCAGATACAGGGGTTTCAACCTGATTCAACAATAGCATCATCTGGAGGACTGTAAAACTCCATCCTGGTCCCACCCTAGACTATTTTGATAAGAATCTATGAGGGTGGAGCTCAGCATAGGTGTGTGCTAAAAGCTCTCCAGGTGATTCTATTGGGCAGCCCAGGTGGGAGCTAATGAAAAAGGAGCTATGGCACTATGTAACTCCCTCCAGAAGGGAGGCTGCTTAATTTTGTCATACATGAGAATTATCTAGGGGTTCTTAAAATTCCTAATGGCCCAGTCACATCCTGTACCAAATAAGTGAGACTGTCTGGGCACACAGGCTCTAGAATATTTTAAAGATTCTAAGTGATTCTAATGTGTGGCTAGGAGTTGAGCCCTTCGCCCCAGAGACTCTTCTGAAGAGGCAGTTATGGTGTGCTGGAAAGAACATGGACTCTGGGTCAGTCACTTGTGCTGCTTGCGACCTGTGTAAACTCTTAGCCTCCATTTCCTCATTAGGAAAGCAGGTATAATAGTGCTAACTCACAGTTTTTTTTGTCTGGACTGAAAGAGAGTATATTTGTTAGCGTGTCATGATATCCATCTTAGCCCTTGGGTTAGTTCTCTATTATTGTGTAACAAACTGCCACAAAGCTAATGGCTTAAAATAACAAAGTGCATTGTCCTATGGTTTTGGAGTTCAGACATATACAGTGGGTCTCACTGGGCTAAAATCTAGGTGTCGTAGGGCTGTGTTCCTTCCTGTAGGCTCTAGAGGAGGACCTGTTTTCTTGTTTTTTCTAACTTCTAGAGGTCACCTGCACTGTGTGGTGGTGTTTACCTTCCATCTTTCCCCCCTAGTGTTGGAGACTGAATCCAGGGCCTTTGCCGTATCTCCAGACCTTTTTTTAAAATTTTGGGACAGGGTCTCCCTAAGTCCCTAAATTGCACAGGCTGAACTTGAACTTGAGATTCTCCTGCCTCAGTTTCCTGGGTTGCTGGGATTATAGGCATGCACCGCCACACCTGGTCACTTCTCATCTTTAAAGTCAGCAATGGGCAGTGGTCTGTTTTGTACTGTACTACTCTGATTCAGACTCTTTTGCTTCCCTCTTCCACACTGAAGGACCCTTGTGATTATACTGGGCCTATCCTGATAAGCCCAAATAAGCTTCCTGCTGTAAAATAACTGATTGATAACTTTAAGTCCATGTACCACAGTCAGTGCCTTCTGCCAGGTAAGGTGTCATAGTCTGACTATGACATAGTCATAGGTTCTGACTGAGCTGTGGATAACATTGGGTGGCATTTTGCTGGGGAAGGAACTCAGGGCCTTGCACATGTTCACCAAATGCTCTGCCACTGAGCTACACTCCCAGCCCTAGGAAGCCATGATGATGATGATGATGATTGTTTCAACCATGTCCTCAATGCCTTTTCCTTTGGTTGGCATACAAAATGTAATTGTAGGTTTATATCAATTAATATCCTATAAATACATGAAAAACTTGTAAATGTTTTATTAACCTGACATAAACTAGATGATGCTTATCACAGGCCTTGTTCCATTATTTGTCCTACTAATGGGTCCTCTTTTCTGCTTCCTGTTGAAAGGACAGGCTCAGGCACTCCATCTGTGTCACATGATCCTCCTGTATAGTCAGCTGATTGGATCCATGATGGACACCTGACTCCAGGGAGCCAAAGAATTGGCTTGTCAGCACTTTATTAGCATTTTTCTTAGAACTTGAGGTGAGAGGTACAGAAAATTGTTGTTAGTTATTGCTGCACTGTGGAGACAAACAGGACTGCTGAATTAGAACTGGAATTGGTAGCAGGGTCACTCAATGTCACATGCAAGTCAATTTGAAAAGAGCAAGAATTGTGAGGGCATCACTGAAGATGGTCTACAGCAATTATGGTGAAACTTCTAGAACTTTCAGTGATACAAACAGCCCACTGTGGCACACGTGCCATAGATTCACCACCACTGATCTGCAGAGAGAAGGAGAGACTGAGATGCAAGATGTTTTAGTCTTTAGAAGAGAGGCACTACAATTTTTAGAAAATTCCTATTCCCATAGCTTTGGTTGTCTTTTAAAAATAATGTTTCAAACAAAGGTACTAAAAACCAGAAACTGTGACAGCAAAGAGAATTAAAGACCTAACTTACTACTTCTGCATGTTTTTATGAAGTCATCACAGTTTTCTATTATCCAGATGTCTTAGTTACTTCTCTCTTGTTGCTGAGACAAAATACCCGACACTCAAAGTTAAAGGAGAAAAGTTTATTTAACTCACAGTTTGTTGAGATTTCAGTCCATAATTGGCTGGCTCCAAGGCAGGGTGGCAGAAGAGCAACATTTCATGGTGGACCAAAGGTAGCAAAGCAACAAGGAACCTTAACAGTTTCTTTTTGCCCCTTTTGTCTTATCCAGACTACCTGGATTAGGGCAGTGCCAAACCAAACAGTGGACTAGTTTAGTAATCACACACCCTTAATCCCAGCATCACACACTCTAGATTCAGCCTAAATCACTCTGAAAAAGCCCTATGACTGCATGACCCTTTGGGGGGACATCTTGACACAAACCATAACACCAGATAACAGGGAAAATGGAGAAAAGAAAACGCAAAACAATCTTCAAATCTCATTTTTCTACTGTTCCTGACTTTCTATCTTTTATAAATGACAATATGGAAAATTCTATAGGGAAGGAAAGTTTATCAATTAGAAATGTTTTTGAAGGCTGGGCATTTAGCTCAGTGGCACTGTGCTTGCCTTGCCAAGTGCAAGGTCCTGAGTTTGATCCCTGGTACCATAAAAAAAAAAAAGAAGAGATGTTTTTGGCTAAAATTAGCTGCAAATCCAAGTAATATCAGCTAAACTCAAAAAGCATGAAATCATACAAAACAAGAAATCTGGCGATGACTCCATGGTTTGTTCAGAGGCTCTATAATATCATCAAGAATTTCTGCCTTGCCCAAAGGAAAACATTTTCAGAGACTGGCTTCTTATTCTTGTTCTCACTGCCTCATGGTCACAGGATGGCTGCTGCAGTTTTGGGTATTTTGATTTCATATCAGCTTTTCATGGTAAAACGAAGAAGCAGGAATGGTACATGAGGACTTTATCCCCCTGAAGTTCTGGTATTTATCTGAGAAGGGAGCTCCCCCAGCCAGCTTCCCCCTATATCATTTTGGTTAGAACAGGCTTACATCTCTACCTAACCCAGCACTCTCAAAGGGGAATGGGACAGCACGATGGTTTAGACCAAACATTATTAATCACCCAGGACAGCAACAGATAGCCCCCCTCCTGAGATGCATGGATTTCCAATGACAGATGTTCTTCCAGCAGGGACAAAGTGGGGTGACTGGCAGTTGAGTAACCTACCGACTGCTTGCAATGAGCAAGCAGTGAAATGACTGAAAGGAGAAAGAAGGGAAGAAAGAGGACTTGAGAAATCACATATTTCTTGGTTTCGCAAGGAAGGAGCTCTGGCCAAGGCTGCTAGGATCACCCCAGAAACAGCTGGCCTGAGCTTTGAAGGAATCTTCCAGGTGCTGGGCTTAAGGCCTTGTCTGGAATATGCTCTCAGCCCTTTCTCTTCAAAAATTTCCCTCCCTTACCAACCACTTCAATGTGTGTCTTTTTCTTTTCTTAAATAACAGTGTCAACTTAAATTTGTGTGTGTGTGTGTGTGTGTGTGTGTTTGAAGTTTTCTGGTGCCGTAAAGTATATGCTCAGTCTACATTTTGTGTAAGACAGCACTGCTTATGGGGTTGGGGGGGGGTGTCTCTGGCCTTGTGTGTCAGCACTGGAGCCCAAGATGGAATAAAGAAATATTTTATCATCTCAGTGCTTTGAGAGTTAATTCAGACCATCAAAGGGGAACATTCCCAATGCATAGCTCTGGTCAGTTTCAGTAACTAAGTCAACATCGGTATAGTACATAAAATATTGTTTGACACATAATGAACTATATATGAAGTGTTTGATGTTGTTGTAGGTCTCAAAATTCTTTTGAAAAATCAAAAGAAACCACACAATTTGTACAAAGCTGTGATGCTAAAGAGAGCACAATGACGTGAGGAGAATGCTAAGAGAATTGGCACCGTTTGAGGATCCTCACACTCCAGGAAATTAAAGATCATGTGCAGATACTTGCGTTCTTACAGTTAATCCTTACAAGCAACCCCACAACGTGAGTATTATTACAGCCACTTGACCAGAGGAGAAATTGGAACTTAGACAGTTGTGCAAGATAGCAAGTTAGAGAGCAGCAATGCAAATGCAGTTCTGTTACACTTACCCGAGCCATATTTCTGTAAAGGGCACACACTTATTGATATTTTGACAAGATTTATAGAATAAAATATTGTTTTATGGGTAAAAGCTTGAGCTGTTCATAAAATGGGGATCGAATCCACTTCAGCTGAATTGCTGCTGATAGCCCCAGAGGTGAGTATTGTATAGTGTTTTTGGACAACTGTTGATCACCTACAGTCTTGGAGTTACAGATGTAAAAATTATTATTCCTGTCAACAGAGAAGTTATGGACAAGTGGGGAAACAAAGATGCAAACAAACAATTCCTATCTAACATTATACTTGGTACACGGGTACCACATTCAGAGTAGAGTTAAATCAAAGAAAAAGGAGCCCTACCTGGAAGAGGATTGGAGGAAGACTGTGGAGGATACACAGACACTGAGTGAAGGACAAACAGGAGTTTGGCAGGCAGGTGGTTTGTGGACATTTCAGGCAGAGAGGACAGTGTGTGCAAAGACGGCAGGTTTAAGGGACCTCTGAAAATTACAAGTAGTTCAGACTTGCCAGCTCATGAAATTTAAAATTGAGTGGCAGCAAATGAATCCCTATAGAAAAGCAAGCATCAGATCCTTGAAAAATGTTTACCTTTTATTTTTTTAGGATAAAAATAATAATTCTGCAGTGATGTGATGCCACCAAATGAGAAAGGGCATAAAGCTATAGAGAACCCAAATCAATTAATATTTTAAATATTCATGTCTGCAAAAATTGAAGATGACCTAAACATCCAGCAATAGAGGATTGGTTTAAATATATTATGTCTATACATAAATAAGAGACTGTGCAACTACATAAAAAGAATGAGGCAGATCTCTATGTTCTAATCAGATTCTGTAGCAAGCAAAGCTAGCAGGTAATTTGAGATATAATTTGAGCTAATTTGATGCCACGGTAGTGACGTAGTGACGATAAGGCAGAGGGTAAGTGAGTAAAGAGAAGGTGCACCGCAGTGTCACCAGGCTGACAAGTCATGGGCTTGTAAAGAGACACAGCTTGTGGCCTCAGCAGAAGGGTTAAAGTATCTCTGCCACATCTCAGAGTAGTCCACAGAAGAGAGAAAGGTGGAAAACTTAACTGCCTGACTCTATGTGTCTCTTGTTTCCAAAGGGTCAAGATTCAAACTTCTCAGTTAGGTAATCTAGACCCTTAGCAACACATAGGAAGCTGGAATCTACGCCTCATAAATTGGTGCTTAATCCAAGCCCAAAAGTGGGAGGAACCACCAGAGGAGAACTGAATAAGAACAAGGGAGGCTGTTTAGGAAATGTAGAAAGGAATCTGAGATTTTTACCCAATATACATATTGACTGGTTATAAAGTCTGGAAACATCTATATTATTTTATCATATATTACATATCATTGAATTTTTCAAAACCATATTCCCAGTGTCTTTAGATTTGATGGCCTTGTTATAGTTTAGTACAAAGTAAGCCTCAAAATATATCTCAGTAAAAAAACAAGGTACAGAGCCATGTGTGTGATAGTCTAACACTTGATAAAATAAGGACTATATGTGCTTAATTTTGCATGGAATTCCTCTGGAAGGAGACCCAAGAAGCCGGTAGAGTACACTGGTACCTTGGTACACAAACTTAATTCTTTCCCAATTCTGATAGAAAACCAAATCAAATTTTCTCATAATACCAACATTGAACCTAACCATTGAGTTTGATTTGGTTCTTGTGCAATTTGGTTTGAGACCAGAATTATTGAAAGAATTAAGTTCGTGAACTGAGGCACTACTGTATTTGTCTTTGGAGGTGGGAATGGGGTGGTTGGGGGATTAAGTGAGAAGACTTACTCTTTAGCAGATCCCTTCTTACATGTTTCTAATTTGGTGTCAAGCTATTATCTATTAAAGTGCAAACTTACATTACTGTGTCAGATGATTAGTTCTGCTATAACAATACCACAGACTGGATGATTCATAAACAATAGAAATTTATCTCTTATAGTTCTGGAGAATGGGAAGTCCAATGTCAAGGCACAAGCCATTATGGTGTCTGGTGAGGGCTGATATTTACTTCCAAGATGGCACCTTGTTGCTGCATCCTTCAGAGGGGAAAAAGGCTGTATTCACACTTGGTGGAGGGATGGAAGGAATGAGTCTACTTCTGTAGGCTCTTTTATATGGACCCTAACCACATCAGCACATGAATTTTGAGGGATAGTCACACTATAGTATACTGAGAAAGACATTTTTAACATTAGAAATAAGACAGTAGCAGAGGTAAAGATTTTGAAGATCATGGAACTCTATGAATAAATACGAGCATAAGCATACTGGGGGTGGTACAGAAGTGACCATGGCTGACCCAGCCCTGCCCTGGCTGTGCTTACAGTCTAGTTATAGACAGAAAATTATAGAGCAGGTAAACAATTACCCGGGTGTCAAGGTAACCACGTGTGCTATAGAACCCTAACCAGCCAAGACAACAAATCCTGCCATAACTATGCAGTCCTTAGTACTAAAGAAGTTATTTTTATGACAGACTCCTACATGGCAGGGTTTTGATTTTCGTGTTTAAATTGTTAAACAACTCTAACAATTAATTGTGTCCTTAAGCAGGGATAGAAAACTTCTGTAAAGGGCTGAGAGTAAATATTTTAGGCTACGCAGGTCAAATTCTCTCTGTCACAATTCAACACTGCAGATGCACAAAAGCAACCATACAGCACATAAACAAATGAGCATAGCTGTGCTACATAAACCTTTATTGGAAGTTGGAGAATACTGGGAGTCCCAACAGAACTTTGAATTTTATAACATTTTTATGTGTTGTAAAATCATCTTCTTCTGATACTTCTCTCTCATTAAAAAATGTGAAATCCTTTCTTAGGCTGCAGGCTGTGCAAAAACAGGCAGGCCCTATTTTGCCTGTGGCTGTAGTATGCTCAACTCTTAGAATATTATTTCCGCATTAAAATACCAACTCTGTTCATGGAAAATCTTCAACTAGTAGTTACCTGTAGGACCTCGCTCTTCTAGCCAACTAAAGCTTTAATGTTCTGTTGCTGAGTGCTAATTTTCACTTCATTTTATTCTGTCATATATATTTTTGCTGCATCGTGTACTGGCTTGAAATGGATCCTGTACTGCAATGAAGGTCACAAAAAAGATTTAATTCCCCTGTGACTGACAGGTAACTCATTTGTGGATATTAGAACTACTTTTATAACCCCAGAAACAAGATGCCATATGGAATATCATTATGGGCTCCCTAGAGCTTCTGCTACTGCCATCTGTCTGTGACTTCCTTTGTGGTTATTTTGGCAGTGGAGATTCATCTACCAGAAATGCTTCTATAAAGTGAGTTTTGAAAGCCCAACCCTAAACATTTGTCTCTGAATTTAGATGTATATTTTCAAACAAATTTGTGTTGCCTTGAGTTGAAATTTTTAATTGTACCCTTCAAGTTTCTAGGTCGTATCTCCATATAATCAGAATCAGTAACATGATTTTTACTCTATTTACTCAATTTACAGGTTATTGGTTGCAGAGATATGAATTGTTATGTTATCTTTGTGGTTATGAATGCATATAAAATAAATATTTATATTTTGAAGATGAATGAGCTACTCAGTAGGAAATATTTTTAGATCTTCAGATGAGTGCATGTTCTAGCTTGTCTATGATCACCAGATATGAATGAAAGGGCTTTGACTTTTGATTGACAGGATCTCAGTTTAGAGCGTAGCTCTTTACAAATTCTAAGAGTTAAAAAAAAAAACACCTAAACCCTTACTCTCTCAGACCTATTCTGGTCTCTGAAACAGGAACAAAAATTCCTCCACTGATTCTTTAAAGAACTGATATAAGAATTGACCAAGATGGTGTGAATGACAAAACTTAACAAGTGAAAACCCTTTACAAATCCTCCCTAGGGTGTGGCACCCTCTGGCCCGCCTTAATTTCATGGCACAAGATGACAACTATAGCACCACCAGTCATCACAGCCTTCCAGACTGCAAGGTAGAGATTAGAAAACACAAAGGGAGAATCAACTATCTTATTAAAGAGGCTTCCATGGCTGGGGATTTAGCTCAGTGGTTCAGCCACCTGCCTTGCAAGCACAAGGATCTGAGTTGGATCCCCCGCTCCTACAAAAAAAAAAAAAAAAAAGAGGCTTCCTAAAAGTTCCATGCCTTTCTACTTATATCTTACTGGCCACTAGCCTAGATCATTGTGTCCCAGCCTCTCCTGGTCGGAGTCCACTGTGCCTCTGGGCTCTGTGTCCTTTTATGTGGCAACCGTTGTGGCTACTGGTCCTGGTGCCACCACTTCTGGTGTAGACAAGGCTGATCTCAGAGCTCCCCAGGGTGGACTGAGCCTTACTCTTTGTAAAACTCTGATCTCCTACCTGTATCACCCCTAACCCCCAATCCTCATGGCTGAACGGGAGGCGGTCCTCTGTTCCTTTGCTCCCTCCAGATGTTGGCCTCACCTTAGGAGTTGACTGGAAGTTTGAGAGTTTGTTTCCATTTTGGGACCCAGATTTAGCCAAAGAGTTGCCTCTTTCCCCAGCCCAATCAATTTGCTGTTCTCATCAGGATCTGCAGGACAGGCTTCCTTTTCAAGAGAGGCTCCAGAGCTGGTTCTAGTGCTAGATGGGCAACAGAATCAGGCTCTAGCTCCACCGGCTGAACTCAGAAGTGAGATTCAGACTGCCAGTCTAGATTGGGCTGTGGACCACCAGTCATATGAAATACTTATTCCTCATCTAGATAGAATTCAAAAGCAGCAAAGTTTATTTTTTCACTTCTGAGTCTGAAGAAAGATCTAGCTCAGCATCAGCAACATGCCAAGGTTTTTGTTGGAACTCTTCATCAATTTTCAAAGCTTAAGCTTCAGAAACAAACCTTCTAGGATGATTATGGAGAGCCAAGTATGGATATAGCTGACCATGGCAGCTTACATTTAGAATCTGAGGAAAATCCAGATGAACCTTCACAGCTCCCTGAGCAGATTGAAACTTCCCATTCCCAGCTGGCTGCCCAAA